GGAGGAGGGGAGGAGAAGGGGGGGGTGAAGGAGGGAGGAGGAGGGGGGGAGGAGGAGGAAAAAGATGCTGTGTTTACCTCTCAACGCCGTAAAAGTTAGAATAGGTGGACATTTTGCCGAAGATGAGTGTCTGCAAGCTAGTTAGACCACAGTTTGACAGTCGCAGAAACAAGACATGCTCCAGCTTGCCGTCCACCTTACTGAAAAAATCACTCGTCAGGAGCTGGTGGGAGAGGTCCACGTACTTGGTGCGTTGATCGAAAAGGTTGCTCGGGTTTTGGAGTGCAAGCTGAGGATGGGAGGGTGGGGGTGGAGAAGGAGAAAAGGAGTAGAAGGGGGAGGGATGGTGAGAAGAATGGGCGTGGGGGATAGAGGGGGAGAAAAGGAGTAGAGGGGGAATGGATGGTGAGAGGATGGGTGGGGTGGAAGAGGAGAAAAGGCGTAGAGAAAGAAGGGATAGTGAGAAGAGTGTGGGGGAGGGATGGAGGGGGATGAAGGGAGTAGAGGGGCGAAGGGATGGTGAGAGGAATGTGTGTGTTGTTGTTTTATTTAGGGGGTAAAATGAGGTGAGGAGAGTGGGAAAGGGGGTAAGGGGAGAGGGGAGGAATAGGGTGAATTATACAAAGCTACGCAAAGTTCACGCAAAGTTCTGCACATTTATTGTAGCATCCTATCATATCCGCATTTTCCGTAAGGTGCACACATTCTTATCATCCCTATTAATAAAACAACATAAGGGCGAAACATCTCGGAGATGCCGTGTGCAGACTGTGCACGTTAAAGATTTCGTGGTTGTGCAAAGTCGATAAGAGTAGACTTCGGCCGCCAACAAGGCGAAACTCAAAATTAATTCCTCCTAACTTAAATTTAAAACGTTTTAGTGTGTCCCGCGCGCTCTATGACCTTACACAGTTGCGAGCGCCGTAAACCACGTATTTAAACAAATCAAACAACAAGACTGTCCCTTCTAAGCTGGTTATACCTGTGTGTTTCCCTGGGCAACAACAACAGCCCCGCCCATACACACCAGACCCGGGGCACACCAGACGAAACAGTCCCACTCGTCGTCACCGAGTGGACACTGCCTCACACCGTCACAGACCAGGCTCGGGTGCAGGAACACAGGTGACCCACCAGTGGACATACAGGCCAGGTTAGACCGTGCTGGGGATCCACAACAATAATAATAGTAGGCCTAATAATAATAA